GCCCGAGCGCAGGAGGCACCGAGCCGGAGACTGTATGTGGGGTCCTCCCGAACCCTTGGGACTCGCAGCCCCTGACCGCACCATCTCGAGAGCTTCGCTGCCCTCCGCTGCTCCCGGGCGGAGCTCCCTTCCCAGAAGCCGACCGCAGGCCGGGGGCTCCGCCGCCGAGGGCTCACAGTAGGAGCGCAGAACTTGCTGGGATTTCTGTGCCGCTTGCCACGACCCTGCCCCTGCCTCACTCTCCGCGGGCAGTCCGGAGCCTCTGGGCTGAGGAGGTTTCAGAGGAAAGGGAGCCCTGCACCCCGGGCCCCTCTAGGAGACGGAGCCCCAGGGTGCAGCGAGGGGCCAGGGTGATCGCAGGGCTGCAGGGCAGCGCTCACTCTGCAGTGCAAGAGGCCAGAGTGAGGGCTAAGGAAGGGTGGAGCCCATCAGAGAGGGTCCAAGGCGGAGAGAAGTCTGCAGGCCCTGCCGCATGCATGCGGGACGCTGCAGAGCGCAGAAAAATAAAGCTTGTTCTGTTGACAGCGAGTCACCTGTCCTTTGCAATACTCTGTATTCTGTATTCTGTATTCTGTGTTCTACATTCTACATCCTATATTCCCGTGCTATGTTATTATTTCAATCATTCTTTTCTTTATAATTTTATGTCACGTGTAATATGTAGATTCTTAAATCATAACTTTTCAAAATTTAAAGAGCCAGGGCCGGCCAGAGAGCTCAACGTACTAAAACTTCTGCTTAGGCAAGGGACCGGGGCTCCATCCCGTGAAGTGTGCTGGCGCACTGAGAAGGCAGCTGAGCCGGGGTGTGTCAGTGTGCTCCTATAATCCCAGGGCTTGGGAGGCTGGATACAGGAGGATCACCAGGAGTCCGATCTATGTAGTGAGACCCTGTACTAAATACATTAAAAAAATTACATGAGCCACTTACATTTTTATATTCCTGAGAGATAATATAATTCTAGAATGCATATCTATCTTAAAAGGATCTGTGGGCAATGGCACCGAAGAAAACCTTTATGATAACAGATGTAGAAATGGCATATGTTAGTAAACCTAAACGGAAATCAGTAACAAAGTACACACTTTATACACTTTGCAACGTTTACTTGAAACAAAAATACATAGTTGTACTACGAATTTTTCTGTTCTGGATTATATTTGCTAACTCAGAGGGCAGGCGCATGCGCGCAAAACCACATCCACACCCACACAAACACACAACTAGTTTGAACTGTTGTGGAAATTTGCCCAGTTACTCTAAATTATTAAAAATATTATTCCCTAAAGCTAAACTATTTTCTTGTTAATAAAATTATAGTTAAATAATTTTGACTATAGAATTTTGTCTTTTCAAATAACCGGCCTTTCTCGTAGTTTCAGTGCTCCTCCCATATTACCATTAATTATATACACAAGCATGTTGCATTTTTAATAAAATACTCTTAATGGAGAAAGAGGAAACGGCATTATGTCTTTATTAGCATAATGCTAGGTTGAATTTCGAGTTATCACCGATGAGCTTTATTTAGGATGTTGTAATTCTCTCATAAAATGTCCCATTAATGTGTTTCAAGACAAGCTCTTTGATGTGTAAGAATTTTAAAAAACAAGGATTTGTATAAAATAGCACATGCAATTTTATTACATATATAATGCTTCAATAAGGTTGGAAAAGTTTATCATCCTCTGATATTAAAAACTGAAAGAAATAACATGTTAACAATAATATCTAAATAGAAAAATAAGCAAATAGTTAATTCAAAAGTAAATAAAGTATGTTTTAGAATATTTTAGTCACTAATCTCTACCAACAACGTAGCTGAATTGAAATAAGATTTTATTTTGAATCTACCAAATGGGTTAATTTTTTAGACAATTAGGCTCATTTCTGTCAGCAGGATAGTTAGAGAATAATACTCTCTCTGAAAGGTATAATTTGACATGTCAGTTTTGGAAATGAATTTGGCTATGTTCAGCAATACCCTTCTAAATATCAAACTTGTATCCAAGTTTTTAAAAAAAGTTTCCCCCAATGAAAGAATTAACTTCATTAAAAGTTTTACACCTATTAATATTCATTGTATAATCAAATGAAATAACCTAAATAAATCACTCACACATAGTATTAGTTTATGAATTCAGGATTTCTGTAATGAGGTGGAGGTTCATAAGAAAAATGATCTTAAGCTTTAAATTAAGGCAAATGAATGGCTGCTAATTCCTAAACAATATAATAGAGGCTTGGCGAATAGCCCGTGTGTTCCACAGAAGAATTCATTTTCCATTTTCTATTTGTTGATTAGGCTGAGGATGGGAAATATGTTGACCTACAAGTGGGTAAGTTACAAATAACTTTTGTCTAATAGAGAAACATGAGCAAAAGTTAAAGTTTTACTGCTATGTTTAACCAATTTTACATTTGACAATTTTACCTCAGAATTTTGTCTTTCAGGTATTAACCATAAACTTTTAGAATAGTTTTACAGATCTGTTGGACCCTTCACTAAATTAGTCAATTTCTGTTATTTTCTTGCTATATTAGTTTAAAGTTCTTACATTTTTACCTATATTAAAAATTGTAGCTTAAAATCCATGAGAATACACAAATCATTTTCTGAAGCAATAGGAAGTCTTCATTTAAAAAATGACTATTTCTTTGAACAGTTCCTGCATTTCTTAAAGTGTAGAAGAGGAAAGAGCATTTTGACGATCAAACATGGCATAATGTCATTCCATTTAGGGGCATGAAGTTGAGCCAAAATTGATGGAGAATGTAAATTTACATTAACATACAGAAATTTAAATGGACTGTGATGCACTAAAATTAATGAAAAAAATGAGTTAGTATTTTCATAACTTACCTTAGGACCAGGAAGATAGCTTAGCAGTCTCGCAAGGACCCAGGTTTGATCCCTGACACCGCAAGCTGTGCCAGTCCCAGGCCTAGCCCACCACTGAAGCCAGGCATGGTGGTGCACCCTATAATCCCAGCACTGGGGAGACTGAGCCAGGAGGATCACTATGAGTCTGAGTTGTATAGTGATACCCTCAACCAAATTGAAAAAACAAATTTAATGAAGAATATTAAATTGGTGGTTGAATGGTCATCAAAAGTTTAATAGCATTAAAGCATTCTGATAAAATTCTGGCTTTTGAAGAATTTATCACTAAGAAAATGAATGCATCATTTCTTAATCTGATTCATTTTTAAAGTGCTGATCTATTCTTTTCTATATTAAAATGTCTTAATTCATTTCTTCTTTTAGTGTGGAATTTTTGTAACAGCGGCTCTCTGGATAGCGCACATTGGACTTGAGCTCACCGTGTGGCCTGGCCTCAGACTTTCAGCAATCCTTTTACATTACGCTTCCAAGCAGTGGAAACCCTGGAGTGTACCTTTGCAGCCAACCTTAATTCCCTTTCTAAGAACTAAATGTCAAAATTAGTTGAGCTAATCTTATGCATAAAGACAACAAGATGCCGAGTTTCAGCACACCCTCTCAACCATTCCTATCAAGGTCTCAATCATCTTCATATTCCAGTATGTCACAAACTAATTGTTTGAAAATAACCCCCTTCATTACTCTGTGTTGGGCTTGAGGACATGAAGACAAAAAACAAACAAACACCCCACAAGGCAGCACATATGTGGAATATGCAATTTAGAGCTATAATGTAAACTATGATGGTTGCAGTTGACAAAAGTGTATCTTATTCAGGAATGTTGCTAAATAAGAAACTCTTCTTGCAACAGGAGCAGAAATGTGTAACTTTGCAAGATCACATACAAGTAGATATAGATATAACATATGTGAATGTTGTCCATTGTAGTAACTATTTTAATATATATGTATTATAACATCATGTTTCATATTTTAGATGTGCACAATAAAAATAAAATAAATCAAAATACCACTCTCAGTCTCAGCATAAATTCTTTCAGACTCTCTCAGAATTAGGTGTAGACTCTGTATCCAGTCATGCAAGGCTTTTTGCTATATGAACTTTTCTGAACTTTAGCTACAGCATGTAAGACCTCCCACTGAAGCGGCAGATAAAGCAGAGGAGTTGTGAGTGTTAAGTATCTGAACTTCCCAGAGATTCATGTCAAGCTCAACTCCATTGCAGAGCACCTGGGTAAGTTGCTTAGCCAGTCTGAACCCCAGCTTTGTTTCTTTCTTCTTCATCCCTCCCCTCCCTCTCTCTTCCTCCCTTTTCTCCTTCCTTCCCTACTTCTCCCTTCCTGTCCCCTCTCTTTCTTTCCTTCCTTCCTTTTTTCCTTCCTTCCTTTTTTCCTTCCTTCGTTCCTTCCTTTCCCTTTCCTTCCTCCCTTCCTCCCTCCCTTCTTTCTTTTAAAATTTATCTCAAGCAAACTTCAAACTACCTGTGTTCCTCAGATGAGCTCACACTTCTGATCCCCCTACTTCAGCCTCCCAAGTGTTGGGATTACAGCAGGCACCACTACACCCTGCTGAACTTCAGTTTTCTGATCTCAAAAATGTAAAAAAAATAATATTGCACCCTCACTTTATTATTAAATCAAAGTTCCTAAGAAACTGCCTTCTATAGATGTATTGCATTCTTATTACTATAAATTTTATCTTTACATTTTAATGATTCAATTGGCTTACTGGCATATTTACCATAGGCATCTGTATTACTGTGAGCCACTTTTCCCCAGAACCCCCATAAAAAAAGAACAGAATTGCAATTCTAAGTCTTGAATTACACACAGGTACTCAACTGAGAGCCAATTTGTCACCACTTACACAGTAATCTTTGAGGAAATAATGTAGGAGAGAGCTTGTTGAAATCAATCAGTTTTATCTGATTTACTCAAACCCCTCTCCCAATGAAAGAAAAAGGAATAAAAAACCTAATACCTTTCCTTCAGACAAAAGACAAGAATGCAGAAAGAATTACACTTGGCTAGAAGGGTGGAGCGAATCATTGAGTAAGACTTTTTTGGATGATCAGGAAGTGACATAATGACACTCTGCCAAGTAAAATTATTTATACCACAAAGCTAGGGGAAAAAGAAAGTTGTGTAGAGAACAAATAATTACGTTCAATTCCAGACCTACTCTTCCTATTATTACCTGTAGTGTGTATCTAACTTCTGTACTTCTTTCTTATTAAATTTTCTCATGATAATAGAAACTGTGCAAAAAAAATTCTAATACGTGTGGTTTTCCCACAAAATCTCTTAAATACTGAATGTTGGTGTGGTAGGCAGTGAAATAACTGAAGAAGGTGTAAGTAGGGTAGAAATAACAACTCAAATGGCTTAAATAAAACCCTGATGTAGAGATTTCATTTCACCTCTGAGCTTCTCTGGTTGTT